TATCATTGCTAATCTCCACAAGGCACAGACTACTTCTCCCATTTTACAGTTGTAGATGCTGAGGCTTGGAGAAGGTCTCAGTTATTCAAGATCATATAGCTGGTCGTGGAGTCAAGAATAGGATACAGGTTTGTTTGACTCCAAAGCTCATACCACTTAGCCTCTTGCAGGTTTCTAGGCATAATGACAAAGGACCTAGGTGAATTTGTCTAAAGTGTCTTGTTCTGGGACCCATACTTGAAGAGAGCCACAAACATTGGAGTGGAGTATGTCCAGGAGGGATTGAGAAGGCTGGGGATTGGGGCTTAGACCAAGGACACATGAGGAAGGGTTGGAAGATGCTGTAACTGTTTAGCCTGGAAAAGAGACAACTCCAAGTAACATGAATCAGGTGATGCCATTTTCTGCTCCATCAAACTCAGGACAAGAATTAAAATCTTTGCAATGGTCTACCTGCTTCCCTCACTTTAACATTTTATCTCCATGATCTCATCTTCTATTACTATCCCCTTCACTCACTCCAATTTAGCTATACTGGACTCCTGGTTGTTTCTGGTATATATTATCTGCTCTCACTTCAGGGCTTTAGTTCTTCTCTCAAATGTGACCTGTTCAGACTCCTCTCTTGACCACTATTTTAAATTGTAGCCTCCTGTCTCTCTTCTACTTTATTTTTCTCCATTGTACTGATAATGATCTGACATACTCTATCTTTTGTTTATTTATTTTATTATCTGCCCACCTGTGGAAAAAAGTAAATCCCACAAAGGTAAAGCTTTTTAAAATCTAATTTATTCACTGCTGCACCTTCAGCACCTAGAAAAGAACCTGGCATAAAATAGGTACTCAATATTTGTTGAACCAAAGAACACCATCTCTCCCTGCAGATCTGGAAGAACTGTTATAGGGCAAAGGGAGTAGATAGCAAACAGAGCCTGTGTGTCTCCCAGGGACTAAGCTAGGCTGATTCCAGCTCAATATGAGAAGGGACATCTTAAGCATTAAAACTGTCCCAGGAACTTATGCCAGTGGAGGTGAGCAGGGACAAGACAGATGGTGTAGGAGGAAGTGAAGGATCAAAAGGGAAAGGGTAACAAAAGGACTGCAGCCTGAGACTCTGTGTTTCCCAACCCCACCATTTACAGATGAAGAAACTGAGGCTCTAAGAAATCACCAAGTTTCCATCAGTTGCAAGCAGAGCAGGGACTAAAATCTTTGTGTTCTAAATTCTATGACAGTGAAATATTTATTTTCAATAAGGCAGTACTTTTTGGCAGGGTAATTTCTGGAAATACTCATGTTTGTTTGTGTCTGTTGTCCCTCTATGTCCCTACTCCCCATTCCTCTGCTCCATGGAGGTAACTAGGCCTTTGAAAGATCTCTTCCAAGAGGGATTTCACAGTGTAGAAAACAGAAGCAGGCTGAAGTCACTCAATCTATCATTCTTTTATAAAAATCTGAAAACTCTATTGAGGATATATAGTCATAAAAAAAGAAGCAGAGAGTACAAAAGAAGAAGAGAGATCCCTACCACTCCCAGCCCCACTTGGAAAGGGAGAGCTCCTAAGTCTGGGGCAGTAGAAACACAAGCACTGTTTAGGACAGTGCCTCAAAGATGGGGAGGAGATGGCTCTAAGGCACCCAAAAAGAGGCAGAACCTAAACCCCCAGGGTTTCAACTTCCCCTCCTTCACTGCTGGCATGGAAAATGAGGATGTTGGTGGTAAATAGAATAGATGTAGAGATTAGGTGCCCTTGCCCTATTTTTGTGTAATACAAGTACTCCTTGGATTTCAGGGCCACCCTTGAGGGGGCCCCCAGTCATAACTGGCATGGGATTTTCTGCTTCACTGTTAGGATGGGAGACATGGATTCAGAATTCAGTTGTTGTTGTTGTTGTTGTTGTTATTATTATTATTATTATATTATTTTATTATTATTATTTTTTAGAATTCAGTTACTTTAAAGAAAACAAACAAAAACTATTTCTTGCCCACCCACATCTGATTTTGTGGACAGAGATGGATGCCCAATTCATTTTTGGCCTCTTGAAGGACATAACATTACTTTTAATCACTGCATTTGTGGATAGGCAGAGCATCCACTTCCTGTTGGCACTGCATTGTGCTGCATAGGAGCCCTCAGGGATATTTCATGAGTTTCTCTATGGGCTGGGACAACCACACAGAAAATGTGCTCAGGCATCCAGAGGGAGGAAGTGGAAAAGCAGGAGAGAAACTGAAGAAGTAGAGGAAAGCAGCCTTCAAGAGCCCATCAGACAGAAATTATTCTTCCAGAGAATGAGACTGTTTCCCATTGTGGCTATTAAGTGATTTGCAATTAAGGCAATGCTCCAATTGATGGTGAAGTTCTGAGTGGCCGCAGGCCAGTTCTCCAGGCATCTAAGTGCTCACGTCTATTGACTCACTCTGCTATTCATCATTTCTCCCAGGCTGCTTATTAGCAGGTTAAGTGGGAGGACAGTTGGGCCCACCTTGCTGGGAACAATTCTCAAAGATCCAGGGCTGGAGTTCGGAGAGGGAAAAACGAGTTTCTCCTTGGGCCCACAAGGGCCTCTGACTTGGTCTTGGAGCTGAGAGGCTAGGCTGGGCCCAGGGGGATAAGGAGTCAGCTATAAGTCCCTTTTAGCTTTAAGAAGCTCTGGCTTTGGGCCTGCTGCTGGGGGCATTACTAAGATTCACCCCTATCACCCCTAAAGTACATCAAACCAAGCAGCTTCACTATAAGTGCAAGAGAAAAAGCAGGAGATTTGAAGCCCAGCGATCTGGGTGTGTGGAGTTTGGCAAGGGTCTAAAACATTCTGAGGCTCTGTCTTCTTATCTGAAAACACAGATAACAACAACGTTAATCTCACACAGTTTAGGTAAGGATTACACAAGATAAGGTAGTTAAAGTGTCTAGTGCCTGACACATATCAATAGTATTATTCATTCTGTGCATGGAAAATTATTAATAATCTTTCTCTTCTACCACATCTTCCACCCCAGCCTACCCATCCTCTTTCCCACCCTGACTTGCAGTCAATATTCTATATTGCCATGAGCAAGTCATTTCACTTCTATATGCCTCCATTTCCTCATCTATAAAGTGGGTATGGAATTACCTGTTCTGCCCACCTGCTTCAGGGTCCTTTTAGAAGATAATGGAGATGGAAGCTTTTGAGACTAGAAAGTGCTACCCTCAGGTCAGTTGCTCCTAATGGGTAGGTCTGGCTCCCAAAAGCCATGCAGCCATGCAAAGTCTAGGAATTATCTAGAGAGAAGAGGAACACTATCAGTAGGGCACAGAATCAGGGTGGGGGCAGTGGGGAGCTAGCAGCTTGCCCACAGCATCCTTCAAAAAGCTTCCTTACACAAAGGTCTCTTATCTATTGGGTTTCAATTTGTTCTAAACAGTAACTCGAAACAAAGCCCATTCACTAGGCACAACCCAAGTCCTCAAGCACATAAGAGAAAAGCACTAGAGCTGACCAAGGTGGTTTTCTTGATGGTCTAAGGAAGGTCTTAGGAGGTTCTCTCCACCAATGGCCCTCTCCAGTATTGCAAAAGACTCCCCAGGGAGCCACAGGAAGGTAGCCATCAGTCACTGCAGAACAGGAGGTGGTCCAATACATCAGTCATGTAGGGTACTACAAAAAAGAACTCCCCACCAGGCCAACTGAGTCAGAATCAGGATGGGGAGTGCTGGACTTAGGTCATTGACAAAGTTCCATGGGTCACTCAGAGGCAGCCCAATCTTCCGTCTTACACGTGGAAACTAGTCTAGTCAAATCTATGCCATGCCACCCACGTTATCATTAGGAAAACTGAAACTCAGAAGGAGAAAGGATTTGCCTAGTCTAGTTGATTAATGAGGGGCAAAAATTAAGGCAGAAACCCAGGCTTCCCTGGCCCCTATGAACTTCCAATGGATGTAATAAGGCCTTCTCAGAATGTCTTGCTCCTAAAGCTCCCTGAGAAACCACAACATTCGTCTTCCTTTCATGACCAGCCCAGGGCAGAGAATTCCATTTCTATGAATTATCAGATTCCCTCCCAGTACATTCCCTCTCTTTTCTCTCTTGCTAATTTGCTTTTATTTTAACTTTGCTTTATTCATGAAGTCCTGGTGGCCAACAAGCTTCTTTGCTCATCTGAGAAGGGGCCCCAGGGAACCTAGAAGCACTATCCACAGCACTTTCAAGCAGCTGCAATTTTAGGCCTTCTGAGTTGGATGCAGCAATTGGGCAGAACTCAAGGAAGCCCACCATCAGGTGTCAGATGCCCTTCCTTGCTGGTGGCCAAGGGTAAGAGTTTGGATTAGAGAAACCTAAGCCATTAGCACAATCACCTTCTCCTGGTTGATGGTGGGTAATAGAAAAGGGCAGGTGATTCCCGCCTAGGCTAGGACAAGCCTGGAAATCAGATATGACCCAGGTGACCGGGTTGTTGATGTGGTATATCTCTCATGCCTACTGGATGAGATGCTCTGAAAAAATGGGAGTAAGCCATATGCTCCTCACTCAGCCCCACAGCTGAATAGGTGAAGCAGGCAGCTCTCCAGCCAGCAGCTCTGCCCATAGGCCTAGGTAAAGGATACCATTCCTTTCAGGTTGGCCTGAGAGTCCCACCATTAGATGACACATCCTTTTGATGGAGCCATTGGTAGGAGGTCCACACCTCCGCCTCCTGGTTGGTGGGGAAGCCAGCACACTTACATGAACTGAGGTTAATCTCAGAAGTGCTAGTCAGCCCCATGGTAGGTCTCAGGGCATGGAAGGTGTGATGGAGAGTTTACCAACACATCATCAGACTGAGATGCAGGGCATGGCTTGGATGAAGAAATGACATTTCTTCTACTTTCAGGCTTCTGTTACCCCTGCTGGGTGACACCTCCCCACACATACACATATCTCCTTGCTTTCTCCATTTCCCTTCAAAGGAAAAACAAATAACCATGGATCACAGGTATGCTGCTGTGGAACAAACCACAAGAATATACTTTAGTGACTGAGGGGGGGTCCCTCTTGAACCCAGTTTATTAGCATTCAGCAAAAGAAATATTTGTTGTTACAAACAGGCAGTGCATCAAGATATCCAGATGTCAGTGAGAACTAAGATTGGGCAGGTCACAATCCAGGCAATTCCATGATGTCTCAAGGATAGGTAAGGGGAAGATAGGGCACATCCAGGGGCCATGCTTCCCCTTCTGCAATGGGAGAGAAAGTACTCTTACACCTGGGGTGCAGATGTACTGCAGCTTCCAATTTCTTCTTTCTGTCCCCCAGCCATTTTATTTAACATGACCTAAATATACATTCCTGGTTTCTTCCCCCCACCCACCCCATATACATCAGGGAAAATAAGCACCAATAGTAACAGGAATAATAATTAAAGCCCCGCCTCTCAGTAGGCCCAACCCTCACACATATACATGCTATGTGGATTTTCTTCTTTGGAGTGCCTATAGGATGGAAAAGTGGGGATCAGGCCATCAAGCCATCACCCTAATAGTCACTGTCCCCCAAAGTTCCATCCATGTGTGAGCTGGAGCAGGGCAGGGAAGTGGGTATGATGGTAGGGGAAGACATTCCCCCAAAGCAGCAAGAGGGGTCAAGGAATTCCCCAATGTGTCTTCTGGGTGAATGTCACAATCAATTGAGCTCCTGGAAAGTCCCACGCAAGGGTTTCTTCAATGAGATGGCCATTTCCTGATGGTTCAAGCATCACTTCCATCTGTTTTCTCCAGCTTCTTGGGGAGAGGGGGAATGGTCGAAACCCCCACACTCCCCACTGGTTAGAGAATGTCCCCAAAATGCTCCTTTGGAGAAACTCATCATGACAAATAGCAAAATATGGACACTCTGGTTTCAAAACTAGAGCACAAAACATAAAGAGGAGAGAGAGAGAGAAAGAAACAAAGAGAAAGAGACAGAGACAGACATATGAGTATTTCCAGAAGGTCTACACATGGGAAAGGGCAAAGTCCAAAAGAAAAAATAAAACCACAAAACGACACACTGTTTGCCAGGTTCCACATGCCTGAGTCACCTGGCATTTGTCTTAGTACTTGGGCACCTTCTGCTATCCCTATCATGGAGGGAGGGAAATGGACAGTGTGATACATCAGGGATGGGGAGGGGGAAAGAGCGAGGGCCCTGGGCAGTTGAGACGCCAGCCCTCTGCACAAGCAGCAGCAATTTTTGTGTCATCTTCGTTTTGTTTAAAACTGTAAACAGCACCGCTTAAAAATAAAATATATCAGAAAAGAACAATTGATAAACATTGTTTTCCATGAATATAAAATGCAAACAATACAAAAATAGATAATTGACTTTTGATATATATATATATATATATATATATTAAAAACAACTTGGATGTAACATACACATGGGTAAACTTGAAGTCTCCCTGCTGAACCCCCATGCCTCCCTCCAGCAATTGGGCCCAGAGGCCGAGGGCAGGTGGGGTGGTAGCAGTGGCAAGGGTGGGTAAGTTGTTGGCAGCATGATGAGGGGAATGCACCCTGGGTGTGGGAAGCTACTTCCCTCCCTGGTACAGTAGTTAAGGAGAAAGCCTGGTGTTGACTGAAGCCTTTGGCCTAAGGAGGCTTATGGACCGGTGCCCAAGCTGAGCCAAGGTGGTCTCGACAAGCCCTAACTGAGCCCCAAGGCAGGGCTTCCTTGAAGGTGCTAAAGCACTGAGAAACTGATAGCCCTCGGAGAGGCCTTCTAGGTGGCCTTCTCTATCCAGTCATTGATCCCCCAAGGACCAGTCTCATCTGGGAATTCTCGGGATCAGACCTATCTGACACTATATAAACCTGCTGGTCAGCAAGATAAGAGCAGCTACCTTCTCGCAAGTCATATCGTCCCTTGAAGTCACATCCAAAAGCATTATCCCATGACCTTGCAATGCAGATAGGGTGTTCATCTGTGGACTTGACATCTACACCCTTAGTAGTCCTGGACATATTTGGTGTTAGCCAGGCAAGCACTGGCATATGTTTGGGGAAAGGCCTGGAGTTTGGCTGGCTCTCCGGTGTCACTCTGTGCTGCCATCATGTGTCCCCAGCTGGTCTTCCTTCGTCTTCTAGGCTGAAGCTGAGACTCAGCCATCAACTGCTTGGATCTGGAGTGAGACTTAAAGGAGACTGTTTCTACAGCGAGGTACCCTGACTGCCTCACTTGTGGTGAGTATCCCATCCCTGGCTGGCCAGGACAGTGAAAGGACTTGCAGGCAGAAGTGTCCAAACCAGGAGTTGTCACTCAGTCCCAGGCCTTACTCTGTGATACTTGACCTTCCAAAGCCCAGCAAAGTGTGTCAGGGGTATGACTGCTCTCCTCTTGCTGCCCTCTTGTTCTGGAGGGCAGCTCTCAGCCCTTGGCCAAAGGCTGACCACCTATGTTTTCTCTTCTCAAATAGGCTGGTGGCCCAGCAGGCTCTGGAGTTTGGTGCTGGCTCTACTACCTCCTGTGGCTGGTACAGTCCACATACAAACAGGAGCTTGAACTGCCCTGAAGGACAAGCAGAGGCAGAAGAGGCAAGAGGCAAGTGGTGGGTTTTCCCCTGTTGTAAAGGCATTTGGTGAGTGTTTACTTCCTGCCAAACAGCCAGGCCAATTTCAGCCCCACCCCCCAGGGCAGCTTTGGTGAAAGGCCAGAATTTGGACACTTCTCTCCTGGAATGCTGTGCTTCAGGTGAGGAGGGCCTTCCTCACCCTCTTTGATTCTCCAGCTCCATGACTGATGCATTTCTTCACAATGCAGATAAAAGTCAGCCTGAAGAGCTGGTCTGGGTCCCTTGAGTGTTGGTGTTGGTGCCATGAAAATTCATGTGGTGCTTCCAGGAGTGTAGCTTCTACCAACTAAGTTTGCTTTTTGTGGGGAGGGGCACTGGGCCAACCTCAATCTAAGAAACAGTGACAAAGACCAGCAGACACATCGCTTGGTCAAGTGACATTTTGCCCACAAGGCACCTTAACTTGAGGGGCCAACAGCATTTGTTCCTAAACTAAGTTGCCAGACCTTGGGGATGCCAAGAGCCCTGTTTACCTCTTCTTTTAAGAGGCATAGAAATGGGTGGGAGATGGAGACAGGGATGAGCAAGGATCATAATCTGAGTCAATATCCAGGCAAAAAATGTTCCATATACTATTTCCAATAAAGACATTTAAAAGGAACCATCTCATATTGGTGATTAATGAGAGGTAGAGCCTGGTTAGATTAGCCTGTTGCAATGTCTTCCTGACAGCAACTCTTCCCTACCGGTATTTCCAAGCTAGTTCAGCATGAGAACTGTGTGGATGCAGGAGAAGGGAGGGTGCCATTCATTCTATAAAGGAGTGCAACTACCATGCAAATCAGAATCCTTCAGCTTGGCAGAGTGAGGGCAGGTCACAGTCTTTCCTCTCAAGAAGCCCAGTCCTTTGATGATGCTAAGAACTTGGCTAATTGGAAAATGAAAGCTCTTTAGAGAGCCTGGAACAGCAGCCTAGATGTCTTTGGTGAACTGTGTCTTGGGAGTGCTAGCATGAGGTCTCTTTACAGCATCCAATGAAGGGGTGGGCAATGCTTAAGGAACTTCATGTCTTTGGGGATGGGGAAAAGCAATTTTCCCTTTTAAGAAGCTGGGTTGCCTCGGGGTCTACAATGTTTGAAATCCTCTCTCCTGATGCCTGGGACAAATGAACCTCCTTTTCCTATCCTTCCCCTGTAACCTGCAAAAAACCCCAGCCTCTATAGACAAGCCTAATTAGGCTGCTTCTCTTCTTGTATCTCAATTAAAAGAATATTTTCCTTGTGATGAGACTATAAAAATTTTCCTTTGGAGGAAGAAAGAACCAAAATTCAAAAGCATCTGCAATTCAAGCAGTCACAAGCTTAAGAAACGAAGAAGGAAAAAACCCTATCATTCTGGAGCTCAAGACTTATGGCATTGTCTACAATACAACTCTATTTTGTCTTCTGTTTGCAACAGGATGAATTTGATCACTCCATTAAGGGAATTAGCATTTTTGTCTTCAACCCAAGCTTTGGCAGGCCAGGTTAAAAGACCCTGATCTAGTTATGATGCCAAAGTCCTCAGCAATAAGCAGTGAGACATACGCTACTTGATCCTCTCTAAAGGCAGCTAGCTGGGGCTCATAGATTATCTCATCTGATGTAATGGTGGCACCTATGCCAAGACCAAAGGAAGTGGGGGCAGGGAGGATCTGTACCATAATTTCACATTGCTAACAGCAAACAAGTTCCCTGTCCCCAAGTGGGAGGCAGTGCAGACCTGGCTGCTCATCAGTGGTTCATCATTCACTGGGTAGAGAAGTGGCAGGGGGTGCTAAGGGTTCAGTCTGTGTCAAGGATGCATGCTATATATATAATCACTAACTCAGCAACTGGAATAGGCACAAAATTACAGCATCCCAAACCCTACGTGGGTCACAAGAAAAAACCCTGAAAGCAAAAACTGGAGCACAGCAGCAGCAGTCTCCCAGGGCAGATGTACTAGAGCTGAATGTGGCCACAGATGTCAGACATGGGAAGTGGGAAAACAAAGATGAAAGCTCATAGGAGCTTTCCTTGGCCAAAAGGATTTTCAAGTTAAACAGCAACCCCCACCCCCCACCCCTCTGCCCAACCCTGATCCCCATTCACATGCTCAGGCCCCATGCCCCCAATTCCAGAACTGATGATGGCTACTCAGCTAGGTTCCCATTCATGACAGTGGAGGAATAGCTGGTAGGGAGAGAGGCACCTTGCTCGGCCCTCTCCTTTGACAGATCAACGCTAGAAGCCCCATAGTGAATGGGATGAGACTCTGGGGGCTCAGGCCGGAACCTGGGCAGCTGAGGAATGCCATGGGTAATGCCCACAGGCTTGGCCTGGGGCAGAGGGCTGGGGCTGAAGCCTCCAGGACTGGAGGAGCAACTGGGCTCGTCAACAGGCAGTGGCACATCTCTAGGCCTGGCCCTCACACCCTGGGAGGCCTTTGGCTGAAGGTTATAACAAGGGCCCATGGGCAGGGGTAGGTGTGAAGGTCGAGCTAGCTGAGGCCTGGATTCTCCAGGTGCCCTTGACTCTGGCCCTGATACCGACAGCAACATTGACACGGCAATGGGAGATATGCAACAGGCTGTCTGCCCATATGGTGACTGGCTGGAAGGCCCATCCAACTGGCTGGGACTTATCCAGGCAGGGCCTGGCCCCACTGGGAGAGGACAGGGAGCCCAGGCAGGCCAGTCGTAGGTCCCTGGAGGTTCAGTATAGAGGGACAGGGGACTGTCTCGGCCCCATTCCTCCTCCTCCTCTTCTTCATCTGAGTCTTCTTGCTGAGCAGGAAGCTCATCAGACTCCATATAGCCCTGGGCCAGGTGAGAACTGGAGAGCTCCAGCTCCAGGGTCTCTGCAGTGTCAAGGGAGCGGCTCCGCCTGTTGAGGGCCATGGCAGCAGGTGGAGGTCGAGGGTGCATGCCAGGCAGTCCCAAATATCGAGGGAGACTGCTCACACCCCAGGGTAGGCCCTGGTAGAATCGGCTGCGGTAGTTGTTGAAGGCATGTTTCTGGTAGTAGCCTAGCTCAAAAGCTTCCAAGGAGGCTGCAAGGTCTTCATCATTGTGGAACTCAGGATTTTCTTCACACTTGCCTTCCCCATCCCGTTCCACATCAGCGATGTCAAAGGTCACCATGGGGGGCAGCTCAGGGAGGTTTTGAGTGAAGGATGAGTCGGAATCAGAGCTGCAGGACATGCTAGAGAATAAGTTACCATTGCTGGTGAACTCCACAAGGGCCTGAGAAAAACTCACAGTGGCATTCCCTTCATTTTCAAGTTCCTCCTCCTCTGGCTCCTCAGGGGGTGAATAAGTAGGGTAGGCCCTCCTGGGGGATCCTCCAAAATTTGCTTCTTGCATGTCTGGCTCAAACATTGCATCACTCTGGAAGAGCTGCATTAGGCAGGTGCTTTGATCTTTCTTGGAGCAGGTTCCCTCAAAACGCTTCTCCAAAGGACGGAAGTCCCTCCAGTCTGGTTCGCTGCTTGCAGTAGCAGGAAAAGCTGAGGTGGTTCCTCTGTGGGAAGTCTGAGAGGCTCCTGATGCCCCTTCCACCAGGCCCATCACTGATGGGCCTAAAGGCCTCATCTGATACTCCATGATGGGCTTTTCCTGCCGGGCCTGTACCCCTCGGATTTGAGCCTCTTGAGCACGAACCTCTTGGGCCTGAGCCTCCCTGGCATAAGCCTCTCGAGTTCGGGCCTCTCTGACGTGGGCTTCCCGGGTGTTGGCCTCTCGAGCATTGGCCTCCCTGGCGTGAGTTTCTTGGGTACGGGCTTCTCTGGTATGAGCCTCCCAAGTACGTGCCTCCTGGGCTTCTCGGGCCTCAAGCTGCTCCCGCCGAAGCTCCCAATACAGCAACTGTTTCTGGATGGTCACTAGCCTTTCTTCCTCAGTCTCCATTGCCCCAGGTGGCCGAGAGGAAGAAAAGTGCTCAAAGTTCAAGAATGGGTCAAATATCTCAGAGTTGTGACCATGGAGGTCATAAAGGCAGTCATCTCCAGGTGGGGAGTTCTCAAGACTATCATCTGGCTCAAAGAACTCATACAGGGCATCTCCACTATAGCTGTCCCGGGGCAAGCAATCCCTGTGTATAAGCCCCAGGGCCTCACCTGAATCATCCTCAAGTCCAGGCGTGGTGGAGTCATAATAACCCTCATCACTATTGGGGGCAGACTCTTGCTGGTCACTCTGAGGAGTCAAAAGGTCCCCAGGGGCTAGGCCAGGATAAGACCTAACTGGGTCAAGAAGCATATAGCTGTGGTGGCCTGGGGATGTGGTGGGATGGTAGCTTGGATTCATATTGGACCTTGGGTACATCTGGGTACTGGCCCACAAATATTCTAAGTCATCATCTTCTTCCTTGACTTCCTCTTCTTCCTCCTCTAATTCCACCTCCTCTTCCTCCTCTTCTTCCTCATCATCATCATCAGGCAAGGCCATCTCCTCGCCCCCTCCTTGGTAGGTCACCAGGCAGGAACTTCGCTTGGTCCCATCTCGGTTGGCCCTCTGGCCTCCAGAGGCCATGCTGTCTGTCATACTATCCATGTCCTGCTCTGCTATGATATCACCACAACCTGTCAGTGAGTCAAAACTTTTCAAGGATGTGACATCCCCAAAGAGGAGGCTCAGCTGGTCACCCACAGGGGCATTTGGTGGATTTACCTCTCCTGTCTCCACTTTCTCCCCTGTTTCTGGGCTATGGGGCTCCTCTGGGCCACTGGCTTCAGGGGCAGATTTGGGCTGCAGGAGTGCTGAGGCACAGGCTTCTATAGTATTTTCTGGATCTTTACAGGCTGTCTTCTCAGGGGCTAGTGTAGAAGGCTCTGATACTGAAGAAACTTTTGGTCCAGGGGCATCTTGGGGCTTGGCATTTTCCTTTCTTAGGGCTTGGAGGGTCTCCTCAGTGTGGGGCAGAAGGGCTGAGTCCACATGCTCATGAGGCCTGGCTCTGGCCTCCTCAGGCTCTTTGGCCGCCGGATCACTTTGCTCAGCTATAGAGACCTTGCTCTTCCGGTGACGGCGGATACTGCTGAAAAAACCTTTCAGGCCTTTTTTTGGCTTGGGCACAAAGGGAGCCTTCTCAGCCCCAGCTTTCTCTGTGGCTCCAGTCACAGACATCTTGTGTCTAGAGCCTGTCTCCAAAGCCCCGTGGGCACTCTGGGAGCTAGGAAGTCGGCAGGATGACTCAGGCAAAGGTAAGGGGATGCCAGTTCCTTCACTGACAATGTCCTCAGGGCCATCAACTGCTTCACTCAGGCCATCGTAGGTCTTGCTCTTGCTAATACCCTTCTTAGAGCTGCCTTTCCCAGAACTTTTGCTTCGTCCCCCTCCAAATAAACTAGGCAGGGTACAAATGCCTTTCTTGCCACCAAAGAGCTTCAGAGCAGTTTTTTTCAGCCTACCTGGGCCAGATGAGGGTGTCTCTGATGCTAGCCCTTCTGTCGCCTCAGCTGCCTTGTTCTTGGCTCCTTTCTCTGCCCCTTGGTCCTGAGTGTCCACAGAGACTGCTGCTCCCTTGGCCTGAGCAGCTTTATCCTTTCGGGTCTCCATGATGATGGGGACAACTCAGGTATATTCAGGTGAAAAATGCAGCCTTTTGGCTTCTGGGCACTGTTATAACATCATCAGTCAGGAAACAGGAAACATTACAGTTGGATCTGAAGATGAGAGAGTCAAAAACAGAGAGACAGTACTGGTGAGCAAGCATCCAGGCTGGGTTTGTTTTCACAGGTGTCTGTGCTTTCAGGCTTGAATGGAACCAGAAAGAAAGAGAAAATGTAGGGAAAATCTTAATGCACTCCATATGCTTGGCTTGCCAGGTCAACCTCCTCTGGGCCCCAAGGCAGCGAAACCCTACACTGAGCAGCAGGCAGCCAATACCCCTAACCCCCTTACCAGGTCCAGTCACTTCGGGCCACCCTAAGCTCGAGGGAGCATAGGGCAGGGGGATCTGCAGATGTGAGAAAGGCCCACAGTACTACTGGCCACAGGAGGGATTCTCAAAGTGGGTGAGGTAGAGAGGCAGGAAAGGCAGAAGGGAGGTCAGCTCTGACAACACAGAATTTTTGAAAAGCATCTGGCAAAACAGCCCACTGGACTCTGCAAGTCCAGGCCTCAATTTCACATTAGCTTGGGCTCTCACTGACATTTTGCCTCTGGCTGGGTAGAAAAGTAGACCTGAAATTTTACCTCCTTCCCCTAGGTTCCCTAAATTGCCTGCAGGACCATGCTCAGACTTTCAGAAGCCCAGAGTAGGAGCCTTGCAGACCCACATTCCAGAGCTGCAATCCAGGATCAGCTAAGATGGCATGGTGGCCTTGAGGCAAGGCATTCTCTGGAATTCCATAACCTCAGTCCAAGAGGCCTAGAAATACCTCCCCCTTATAGTGGTTATGTGAGGGGTAGGTCTAGGTCAGACTCCCTGTTGACTGTCCTCCTGGGAACAGAGTTTAACCTGAGACCTATAAGTTTCACTTTAGAACCATGAGGCAGACTGTTTTTTTCCCACTCCTTTCATTATGCTGGCCCCCATTTAGCTCCCTATCTAGAAAGGGAGCTCCCTGAAGGCACAAATCTGTATGATTTGTGTTCCTGGCCTGGAAGGTAGGCTCTCAGCAGTTATTTAAATAAATAAACCTTATACAAGGCACATCCTTTTGATCTAGGCTCCCAATCCTCTAAATATCCAAATAACACAGAGATGGAATAAAAAGAAGGGCTAGCCACTATCCACCCCAACATATCTCCCCTCACCCCATGGTCTGATGTATTCATTCCAGTGACTACAGCTGACTGACACCTGGTTCAGTGACCAGTCTGCTAAAACCCAATGACCCCTCCCTGGAAAGCCCCTCACCACTGTCCCCTTTGTAAGGTAGGCACCAGCAGATGAGGAGCTTGGGTAGGGGAGAGAGGCAGAACAGCTGCTGGGAGCCAGAGAGAGAGAAAGAGAAGAAAGCACCACTGTTGTCCTAGGAGCAGCTGGTTAGCACATCAGCCCTGTGATTGGTTGTCATGGTAACAAGACTCACATTCACCTGCAGTGGGAGACATGGACCAGCCTGGAGGGTGGAGAGAGCCTGGCAGCTACACTCTAGCCTCTGACCTCATTAGAGGAATCCTCCTGGAGTCCCTGATCTTGTCTTGCAAACATTAATTTTGTGCCTTATGCCTTGCTTGGCCTGACATTTGAATCATCAGTGTGACTCCAGGCTTCAATCAAGAGCACTCTGCAGAACTTAATATTAAATCTGGAGCTAGATAATGGCTGGTTATCCAGAAAATAAAAGAGAAAAAAAATCATTTGATCTCTCTGTAGAAATCTGTACTGCCATTTGCTCAAGTTAGGTTTTTTTTTTAAATTCCATGTGACATATTTTTACATGGTATTGTTCCAGTTCAGCCCTGCAACTGATAGGCCCACAATAGATAGGGTCACCTCCCACCAAGTACACAATCTCACACACACACACACAAACACACTCACAATCTATTCAGAGTCCTCTGTCCCGGAGTCTAATGGGAATAGGGGCCCTATCATCTATCTGAATCCCCTACTTCTCAAAGATCAGATGTTTTTACCTCAGCCCTGAAATTATTGACAGTGTTGTCCTTATGGTGCTGAGCACTGGGGAGATGGGGTGGCAATAGTGGAGTTATTTGTGAAACTGTATTCTCTTCTGTGGAATTCATGAAACATACCTCACCAGAACATTTGGTAAAAGATAGATGTTGAGCTCAGTGCTGCCAGAAGGGGAAACCCTAGTCCTTGCTTTTGGGGAGCTCCTAGGCTAACAGGGAGAGAGTCCTATATGTAACAGTCTGAAGGCACAATATAATGCAGGCCTTAAAGAATAACCCCCATTATTGCTTAAACTGAGTGGTATAGTATTATTTTTCATACCTTGTTAATCATATCCCAGGATAAACTTGAAAGGCAGAAAGATAGCCTCTGGGCTCAGAAAAGCTGCCTTGAGAAGGAAGCATTCAATCTGGTCCTTGTTAGATAGGAGTGAGCAAAAACGGCAGTTATTTAGGGGAAAGGATGGGTAAGACTAGTAAGTATGGCTGGGCATCAAGGAAGACCAAGGTCTAAATGAAAAACCACATGGGCCTTCCCATCCTTATGAATCAAAAGCTTAATTATCCTACGGGTTTGGGGCTAGAATTCCTGGGAACAGAGGGATTAGGCAAACTGAATCTCCAAGAGAGCTGCTTTCCACAACCTTGGTGCCCTGCCTGGAGGGCAGTCCCTTTGAGCCTTCTCTTGCCCTTGCTTCTGTGCTCTGTTGGAGCAGAGGCCAGCCCACTGCTCTCTACATTGCCCTCTTCTGTGTCACAGGGATCTGTAATATGTTGTAGAAGAAGCCATGGGCCACAGTGCGGGGTTCCAGACCATGCCAAGGGACCCCAAACAGGCCAACGCATTACTCTGAGCCTTGGGTACTTGTGAAATAGAGATCAAAATAGCTCCTCTATCTCTCCCCTCCATCTCCCCAGTCCACTGCAGTGGTGTGAGGATTAGATGGGACAATGGATACCAAAAGCACTTTGTAAACTTTAAAGTGAAAAGCAAATGAGAAAGGTTGGCATTACTGTTATTATTACCACCTTCCAGGTCAGATGCCAGTTTCTTAAGAAGTAGCAGACCATGTGTAAAAGGTCACTCATTTGAGAAAGCTACTCACTGCAGGAAGTGTGAGGGACCAGATGCCTTGGCCCATGTGAGGAGGAGCCAGGTATGAGGGAATTTTAAAGGCATGTGTGTGGATTTATACAAAGTCCTCCGCTGAGGGCAGTTTAAAAATCCCTCTGTGTATGTGGTGGGAGTGGGTGAACTAGGCAGGGTTGTGTTCCTGGGAATGAGATTCTCTTCTCCCAGCTTCAGGCCCTCCTCCTAGCTAGGCCCAGGGTCATCTCTGCTGGCAAGGACCAGCCTTGAAACTGTTGTCTCCTACCTCCCTGTCTTTCCCCTCCCAGAGTCATGTACCCCATTCACAGTGTCTCTGTGTCTCCCCAAGACAGTACGGGAGGAGGTGGCAGGAACTGCCCATAGATAGTAGCCCTCTAGCCCAGCCTCACCTTGCCACCTCTGGCCTAAGCCCCTTGTCCATACTCCTTGCTACCTCACCAGGTCCTAATGTTGTCCTTCTCCAGTGAGCTATGCTGCCTTTACTCAGGACCACAAAGTACACTGGTCAGGAGAATGAGGTGGGGCAGAAAGTAAAGGGGACAGAAAGGGACAGATTCTGCAGCTCCCCTAGGCTGAAGCAGGCTCCCTTCATGGTTCCTGCCAAGAAAGTGGTCCTGCAAAATCAAAGCCCCTCCACCCTTAGGTTTCTTAGCCTGTGTGGTTAAGTTTCAGGTGGACTGGCAGGTAAGGGAACTTCTAAGGCTATTCTGTGGTCCCTGGCAGGGACCATTTGCTGCAGCCATTGCTAGCAAGGCAGGAAGTGGGATATGTCCATTCCTGCTCCAGAGGCCAGCCTCAGGCCATTCTGGGACCAGTGGAAGGCTAGGGCAGAGCTTCTTCCTTCTTCCCTCCTCTCAAAATACAGGCAGGAGACCAGCCACAAACCTGCCCCAGAGATCCTTCTCAGTAAGGAGGAAACAGCTGCAGCCTGAGCCTTGCACATTCTGCTCTGGGCCCAATTTCCTGGGCCAGCTCAACCAACTTAGAGAGGGCTGAGTTCAGGGAAGAAGTGTGTGGATTAGGTAGTTGCTCCAGAGGCATGCCCTCAACCAGTCATAGTTTCCTAGACCTCCTCCCAAGAAGTCTTCCTGGGGGCAGGTCCACTTTGGGCTCACCCTGCCCTTGCATATGAGTGGGGAGTGTGGGCTAAGGAAGAAGCAGTAAGGATGAGGAGCCCAGCCCCTCAACTCCTGAGATTCATCCAGTTCTGTTCTGTAATCAGCTCTGCCTACCTGGAGGAAATCCAACAATTTCTTTCAGTCTCCTCAACTAGAAAATAAGGCTATTGAGAATGCCTAACTCTTAAAGCTATTGTAAGAAACAAAACCGATGTACATAAAGTAGCAAATAAAATTCATTATATAGCAAAAGCTCAAAAACATAGCAACTAGTTACATATATATATGTGTATATATAGATAGATAGGTATACCTGTATATATGTTAAACTATAGTTGGATAATTTCTCAGTTGAGGTTGTGTAAGGTGCTCCCCACGGCTTTATGGTTATGTCACCAAACCTCCTTGGGCCTGTTTTCCCAAATAAGGGTGACTATGTAGTTATCTCACAGGGGGCTTGAATTGCTCTTTTAGCCAAACTTTGATATTCACGGATGCAAAATGCTGCCTCAAGTCAGCTACTGGCTAACAGCTCTGGATTATTTGGGAATTTCAGTTAGCCAGGTTCTCTAGCCCAAGCCAGATAGGTTAACAATTCAAACTCAGCTAAAGTACCAGCACCAAAGGAAGTGCAAATCAACAGACTTCCTTCACGCACTCATGGTACTCACCAGTTTACAAAGTACTGCCCACTCCCTCACCCTCCATTTCTCCTTCCCAGCAACCCATTAATCAGGCCTGGCAGGGGATGGTAACTCCTTGTCACAGAAAAGGAAACTGTCTAAGCTTGGGAAAAGACTTGCCTAATAAGGTCACACAGTCGGATGATGATAGAGCCACACCAGCTTCCAGGTCTCTTGAGTCCCAGTTCTATACCATTCTGCTGCACTGTGCCAGCCCCTAATCAAAGGAAGAAGACTGAGAGTGAGAACTGTGGAGGTTCCCTTCACACCTCTGAGAGCTATCATCTCCCACTCCCATCACACTCCTGTCCTGGCCCAAATGAGCCTTCTCTGAAGCATTTCCAGTCCTCACTGGCTGCCACTGTTTTGGCCCTACCTAGCACATTCCAGAAAGCCTTATGACTTCAGCATCCAAGAGCTGCCAACCCAGCCTGTGGCTGCTCTCCTCATCAGTAAACCCACCACGACCACTCCCAAACTGTAGAACATGTTCCTCTACTCTCTCTTTTCTTGGAAGATAAGTTTGAGGGGCCAAAAAAAAAAGGTCCAAATAGGAACCTGTCAATGAGGACAAAGATAAAGATAAAACGGGAACAAAGAACTTTAAGGAAAATGATCTATGAAATGATCTGGAACTTGAATCAATCATTTCTAAAGCCCACAGCCAAGGTCTACTCTCAAAATCATTTTTTCAGGTCCTGAAGCAGGGATCTGGCTTGGTACCCTCTGGTGGAGCTGTAGAGGCTATTGGCAGAGCCCCAGCTAAGCTATCCCTGCAATCACCACTTTCCTAATGTTCAGCCTGTCAGAGGGGCACCTCTTCTCAGAGGGGCATCCCACCAACTCTAGATGCAGCACAGACCCCAAACTGGATCCTCTAGTTCCTGCTCTGATTCCCCAGCAACCAGCCCCTCAACTGAGTTGTTAACATACTCAGCCTTTGGTAATTCATTCTGGGAGGCCTCTGTCTGTCTGGTCATCTCTCTCGAATGGACCCCTCTTCATCTTACAGTCAATACATCTAGCACAGAGCAGGAGCTCAAACAACATTGGTTTAACAGAATTCTAATTCAGCTGGAGTTTATCAGCCCAGAATTAAAATGCCAGCTTTACCCTTTTCAGGCTGTGGGGCTTGAGAAAGTAGCCTAACCTTTCTGAGACTCAAATGCTTTATCTAAAATGAAGAAAATGCTACCTACCATGTGGGATATCAGTAAGGATTAGCAATAATGAATGTAAAGACAGATTACTCATTAGGTACCAAGCAGATATTCAATAAAGTGCCCTTGTGATGGGGCCTCTTGCAGCCACCTTTTCCACTCCAGCTCCTCAGCTGCCCCACTCCCTCCCTGTGTCCTCTGAGGATGACACAAGCCTCTTAGCAGAGCTTCCTCTGGTCCCTCCCTGCCATAATACTGAAATCCCGCCCTCTGCCTCTCCACTTCCATCTCATCCATCCTGCACACTCTTGCCAGATTCATTTTCTTACAACCCAGATTTCAGGGCATCTCTCCTCTACTTACCAAATTATTCTGCATTGCTTACAGGATCGAGGCCAAACCCCTTTGCCTGACCTTCAAGATTTGCTCTCTGCATGCCCTTTGCAGGTTTCCTAGGCTCACTTCTCTGCCCCTTAGCCCCAGCCCCAAATACACAAGGGCTTCTCTAGTCTGAGAGATTGGTCACCCAGACACTGCTTCTCCCTGCAAATGGGCTTTCCTGGTGAATTGTCTTCATGCTCCAGCTTTCTCCTCAGGCAGCTGAGGCTGCCTACCCAGCTTGCCTGAAACAATGGTGGCTCTGGGAGTCATCTATCTGCCTCTACCCTCTCAGGCTCCAAAACCTCCTTAGAGAGGAATGTATCCAAGGCAGATGCCATGCCAGCATAATAAGGCTTCCATTGTGTTAGTACTAACCCAGCAAGGGTGAGATGAGAGATGGCCACCACCTACCCCCACCCCAGTTCAGATGAAGAACAAGAGAGGAGCTAATCCTAGGGAAACAGATGTGACAAGGCAGCTGAGGAAAGCCTGCAGGGGAGTAGCTGGACCAAGTGAATAATGGAGACTTTTGACTTTCCTAGGTATCCACTCCCCTATATGTACCATATCCTATATGAGAGACCAGGTAAAAAAACTGAGGTTTGGGAGGGGATCAGGATCAATGTGCTTGGAGGAAGAAGCCTTGAATTGGGGGCCAAGAGTTCTGTGCTCTTGTATAACCCTGGGCAAATCTCTTCCCTGTTCTGGACCTCAGTTTCCCCATCTAGAAATGGGTGATTGGACCAGAGGACTGGGTTTTCCTCATGTTGCATGAGAAGCTAGGGGAAGGGTGATCCTGTGCCCAGTATTCTAGTGGCTGCTGAGTCAGGAGGTATGTTGAGGGAATGTGATTTTGAAGGGCTTAGATTTCACTGGGAGGCCTGGAGGCCTAGATGCTTGGGCCCACTGCAGAACAGAGGTTCAGTGTGGTCTTGCCTCACTCCTCATTTCACTCACTCATCCTTACCCCCTGTAAACCTGCCCATCATTTCACTCTTTCTGAATGTACTAGGCCCAGCCTATTAATATTTCCTTATGTCCAGAGAGGAGAGGCCCAGAACTGGCCAGACCTAGCCCTCTCAAGAAGAGCTGCAGACCCCAGCAGGGAGGGTTGGGAGTACTGGCTAGAGAAGAGGGGTTAGCATCTGCTTGGAAGCCCAGCGGTGGGGAAAAAAAAACCTGTAGGAGATGAAAGCATTGAAGGCTCTGCAACAAGAAATGCAGATCAAAGGGTCACAAAGCTCTGTCTTCCAACCCCCTGCAGCACCAGTATGCCTGCAGTATCCACCAAGCCCCTTCAAGCCATCTTCTCCATTGTTCATAGTATCCCCTAATCCCCAAAGGGGAGGTGCAGGAGAGCAATGCACCCTCACTCAGCTGGCACCTGCACCTCTGCAGTGGTTCTGGTTTCTCTGCCTGCCTTGCCAGAGATATACTTACACATGCATAAGTTTGAAAAATAAGACCAAGGCAAGGAGATGAAAGGCTCTGTGATTATTTAATTCAGAGAACAGAAGTTGGGGGTGGAAGAGATGGTTTTATGACTGTGAAATCTCCAATGAATTGTTAAGCAGAAGAGCAATGGTGGCCAGCTACTCTCAACCCCACCACCTCCCCAAACACAGACAGACACACACACACACACATACACACACTGTTGGTTTGTTAAGTATAGCATGAGAGGCTCAGATTAGATCTGAGAAAGAACTTCCTGGCAGTGAGATGGATAACCCAGGAATGAGTGACACAGGAAGTTTATGAAATGCCTCCTTCAGGGGCTTTATTTTTATCATCTAGTGTATCTGACTAGACAGGATTTGACGCAGGGGAACTGACAAAATAACACTGGGCATGCCCTCTTCTAGCCTCAAGTAGCTTATCTTTAAGTAAAGGGGTCCGGAAGCCCCTTCTCCCTCTTTGGTTCCACAGGCAAGCCAGTAACCTGCCAGACTTGCTATTTTTCTCATTCCCTTCTTCCCCTGGACCAGCAGAGCAAGGCTGTTCATCCCCACCCACCCCCTCCCCAACTCCTCGCCACCTACACTTTCAGAAAGTGTAAATGTAACAGTTCTTGAGGAATTTTTAACACCTCCACTATATTAGGAGAGAAGCTGGACTGCCAACTTCTTTCAACTACCTCCTTTCCTGAAACGTTCAGCCCCTGACAGACTGTAGACCAAGAGCAAAAAGCAAAAGAGACATGAAATGGGAGGAGTCCCTAGCAAGCTAACCTAGCATCCCTTCACTCTTGATGAATGCGTGAGTGAGATGAGGGGTTGTTTAATGTGATTTCTGTTGAATGGAGGCCACTGGAGACAGTGGGAGACAGTGGAAAGAGCCAGTGCTCATGAGGCAGTAGCCTATCCCTAAATGCTATGTGATCTTAAGCAAGTACCTGTTGCTTTCCAAGGCTCACGGCTAGGAGTCCAAACTGGTACTCCCTGAAGGCCTGTCCAGCTGGGAGGAAGGAGACCAGCAGAGGCCTGGGGAACACTCAGCCTCCATCACATTGGGCTGTAGGCTCCAGGCTCCCTCCTTTCCCCTCCACTCCCCTCTAGGCTGAAGGGAGGCTGACACAATACAACTTTCCTCTAGAGATAGCCTGTCCCTCAGTTCTTCCAGATCTAAAAAAATCTTCCAGCTCCAGATCCCCTTTGCATCTAGTTCTTGGGCCTCTTACCCGCCCAACTTATGGCATGCTTCTAATTCCTTTCTAAGACCCCATTCTAAAATGTTTTCTAAAATCCTGTTTTATTGTGGCATATCTGTAAATAAAAAATATCAAAACCTCTCAATTCCTCATTCTTTGATGTGCCCTTCCTCCATTTCCCAAAGCTCAGATCCCCATTCTACAACCTGGCATTTGGGAACCCCACCACCACTGGGCCCCAACCTCCTTTCTATCTTAGAGTCACACAATCTCAACCAGACAAGACTCAGTCACCTCACTTGATCTGCTTTCCAGCCACCGCCTCCCATTCCTCCTTTTGCTTATATCACTAACTTTTGCCTAGCCAAACCCCTCTAATTTCTGGAGGCTTCCCAGGATGATCCCCCTGTATATACAAATCTCTCATCTCTCTCCATGGTAGTTTGCCTCTAGACTCATGAATAAGCAACAACAGGTATATGTAGTCTGGGGACTGGGTAGTCCAGATTCTGAGCTTATTTTTGAAGGGAGACACCATGAGTTATATTTTTTATTGTAGATGCAACGTCTCCATCTTCATTAAGTATACTCAATAAATATCCAAACCTTGAGTATAATTTTTCTAGTCACTTTCATATGAATCAGGACAAATGCCCCTTGGAGAGGTAAGGGTCTTCTCAACATCTCTACAAACACAGCAAGTCCTTCTGGAGCATTCATTAACTGCTATGCATTGCTAGGTTTTGAGGGGATTGTGGCTGAGATCCAGGTTTCATTTACCCCTCTGAGAGGTTCTGAGAGAACCCAGACATCCATGATATCAGGGAGACAAAGTAGAGGCAAAGAAACTTAATTATAGTTTGTCTCCTATTATAATTTAAGCCCCCAAATGCCCAAGGGATGCAGGCAGCCTGGAAGAATTCTGAGTTCTGAGAAATAAGAGGTCATCATGCATTGCAAGAGACAGGCAGGAAAGGCACTGACAAGAAGGTGGGCCCAGAGCTGGTGCCTGAGAGGGAAGTGAATTTGGACAGTGTAGGGTGAATGGGTTTGGGTGTGGGGAGGGGAGTTATATAGGGCAGATATGTTAGGTGGTTGTTGGTTTGAGGCAGGGCAGAGGACAAATCCAGCTCTTGGCTGGATATGTACAGCTGCAAGTAGAGGGACTGCACTGGTGCCTGGTTATAGTGAGAGGGAGTGACTTTATTGTAGTATCTGCAGTCCAGGCTGGTGTCACAAAGGTCCCCAGCTAGCCTTCCCCCAAGTGAGGAATTTACTCGGTCTTACCGCCTCCTCTAAAAAGTGGCAAGCTTTGCCTGGGCCCTGCAGCCCTCAGAGGTTGGTCAAAGGTCCAAGAGGAGCCTGCCAAGCCCCTTGGTAGCTCCCTCCCTCTTGTTCCTCAGAAAGGCCTAGAGTCCATTGCCAGAGGCACACAGCAGTGCAGACTGAGCGGTGGGTGGGACCAAATGAGGGGAGCTACACTGGGAGAGGGGGCTCAGCCAGAATCCCCAGGGGTGGGGCAGGGAGTACAAAAGCACAGTACCCTACACCCAGCCCAGACCCACGCCAATACAGCAGGCAGATAGAGCTGCAGAGGGAGGTGTCTGTGCGAGGGACAAGGCTCACCTCGACCCCGTGGCCCACGCCAAGACAAGCCTGGCCAAACCAGGGCAGGCTCTGCAGGGCCAGTGCAGCTGCTGCCTGGGCTGTGGCACGCCTGCCTGCTGGGCACAGCCCCTCACCACCCGAGAGCCTAGGCAAAGTCCGGTGGTCGAGTGGTCACCAGTGTCAGAGGTGTCTGCAGCAGACAATGACAGACTAGGTATTTTAAGTAACTGCGAAGTTGAAGGGTTTGGCTGCCTCTCTCGCTCTCTCATACACACCCAAACGGTTCGTTCCCTACTACAATAATTGCTTCCTCAGCCTCTGGCACAGAACACCCCGCCCCCCACACACACACACTCACACACACACACCACCGTGCTATCGCTATTTTTAAACGGGAGACTGAAGAGAAAAACGCGGCCAATGCCCTCAGAGGCTAGAGGAGGCGAGGCGACGTGGGGAGACAAAGCGGCCTTGCAGCTCTAACCCAAGGACTAGCTTGAGCTGCTGCCCTAACCCAAGATCCAGGGAGAGCAGGGTTGCCAGCCCGCCTGTCCGCGGGGGCGGGCGCCAGATGCGCCTGGAGGCCCAGGAGCAGGGGGCGCGGCTGTTTGGGGCCTCAAGGCCGAGGTTCTGAAGGGAAGTGAGCAGCCCATAGGCCCAACTGAGTTCCCCTAGGGAGGAGGCAAACAATGTAGATATCCCAATCCATGCCAAACCTAGTATCTGTCGGGCCCAGGCCAACGTGTTGGCTTCGTCCCCAGAGGAGAGGGAGAAGCAGGAGATGCGCAGGGGAGGGGAGGGGCGGCTGCCGGGCCGCTGGGGTGAGCGATACCCGCGTAACACAGCTGTTCCAGCTAATGTGCTACAACAAAGCTGCGGAGCTCCTGGCCTAGAAATGCACCGCTGGGGGTGCTGGTTGGCTGCTCCCCTCCCGGGACCTCACGTTAACACGTGCGGGCCCCATCTCCGCCTCCCCCGAGAGCCCAGAGGCATAGCCCAAGCTAGCCCGCCGGCCTGCCCACCTCTTCGCCGCTTCTAGCCGCGGTCGCTCGCGTCCAGGGGGACACATCTCTGGCCCTCACCGGACAGTCCCCAAAGCGGGTTCCAAAGGGGAGGGCAGAGCGGTCCGGACGCCGACCGGCCCAGCCCTTAGAACTCCTTTCCAGGCGGCCAGAGCGGAACACGCGGGACTCCACTGGACGGCGGGCAGGCGGAGGCTCCTGGTTGCGCGTAACGCTTACCCGGCCGGGTCCCGTTTCCAGCCTGGTTATTGTCTGCTGCGCCGCTCCAGTCCAGGCTGGAGCCTTGGCTGACAGTGCTGAGAGCACCGCAAGCGCCGCCGCCGCCGCGGCCCCAGTCACCTCCTGCACTGGCTCCCCTTCCCCAGGCTCTGGGCAGCTCCCCCATACCCCTCCCCCCGGACTCCACAGGCACAGGGTGGGGCATCGGCGCCCTGACTGGCAGGCGTGTGGCCCAATCGCCACGCTGAGAAGGCGTTCCACGACTCACACACTGTTATCCTTGGTGCATTTCTCTTTAAATGCAAATAAGCGCGGGTGTGGTGTTGGTAAGGGGCGGAGAGCTGCAGAACCCTTCGCTGAGGCTCCCCACTCCCCCAACCCCCTACACCGGGGCGGGTCGCTGCATGGCGACACTGCAAGCTCGCGGGGCCGGTCCCGCCCGGTTGGGGCTCGCCGGAGCCCTGGAGCTCGGTTTCGATTTTGTGTGCGCTCCCATTTCCGTGGCCGCCGTGCAATCACGGTGCAGCGCCCTGGCCGCCACCCGGCAGTTTATTCCAGAACGAGAGGCGGGCAGGGAGGGGCGAGGATGGAGAGGTTGGGGAGCCTGGGGGACTACAAAGCCCCTTAGCACCTCGCCGGGCCCAACCTTAGGCATAGAGACAGGGCCCTGCGGCCCGCGTCCCCGGGCCCCGCAGAGGGACTCACCTGCCAGGAAAGCCAATTGCAGCGCCCGGGCCCCAGCTTCCTTCACTTCTTCGGCACACCGGACGGAGCCTTTAGGGAACGTTGAATCCAAGAATCCAACTTCCACCAGTTACCCAAGGGCTTCCTGCTGCCCAGAGAAGAATACTTCCCCAAGGTCACTCACCCTGCCAGCGACAGAGGCAAATTTAGAATTCAGAACCCCAGGCTCCTGGCCTGGGGCTGTTTTCACTTTTCTTCTCTATAGGGACCGGTTTCTGTGATTGACCCTCACCCAAATGTCCCACCATTTACGAAACTTGAGGGTCTCTCTAAGGTCTCTGGAGGCCCCCTCAACCTTCTAATGGTGAGCTAGGCTTTGTGCAGTTTCCTGTCTTTGGAAAGTCTAGATATTGAGAGAAAAATCTTGTCTGGGCCCAGACTGGAGGTCAAGGCTGAGGGTGGAGTGAGGTCTTGCGGCTTCTGTGTCTGGGTTGTGGCAGGGGGCCAGCCTGAACTTGGGTCTCTAACTAGCCTGAGGGCATTAAGTGGCATTAGTGGCTGCCAGGGTCAGGTGAGCTGAGGCAACAAAGAATCCAGTTTTACCACTAACTCAAGAATATCCAGAAGTCCCAGCCCTAAAACTGTGAGTGTCTGAAACGGGGTGGGGGAGGGGATGGTAAAGTTGAGGAGAGGGGAGGGATTAGAGAACAATGCCTGCAATTTTTGCATTGCAGGAGGAGTATTCCCTGTTGCACTATTGAGTTCTGTCTGCCTTGAAAAGATCCAGCTGCTAAACTGGTAGAGGAGGACTGCTGCCCCTGCATGTGTGGATACAGGAAGTGACATGGCTGTAGGACTGGGATCTGGCTCCAGCTCTGCCTCAGACTTGCTGTATGACCTTGGCCAGTCCATTTTGCTCTCTGAGCTAGTCCATTACCCCACCTCCACAAAAAGGGGGAAGACCAGTCAATCTCATTGACCTCTTCCAGCTCTGACAGTTCAACTCAATTATTTCTGTATTACATAACCATGACATTCTATACATCGTCAACAAAAATCAGCAATTGAACATCAGACCTCCTATCCTAGTCCTGGGTCCAAACAGATGTCAGGGAAGACAGGCCTGCCGCTGGCTCATTGTGAGACATTCTTGGGCAAGTACCTTCTCCCTAGTCTCAGTTTCTCCATCTGGACAGCGGAACTATAATATTTCCCTGGAGCTGTGCTTTTCTGCTTTGAAAAGTCCTGATTCTCATTTTTTGGACCTGATTTGGAGGTGTCTTTTTTCCAGCGCTTCCTTCATAGGCTTTCTCACTGCATTGTGCCTCTGGTTGTCTGCCACCTGTTCCCATTTCGCCCAGAATCATGATTCTCTGGAGTAGACCAAAGATTACAATTTGGAGATGATGGTTTTAAACCTGGAGCCCAGGGCAACACAGGACCAGGACAGTCTCAGCTATGGGAATAGAGAGAGGAGATGTACAAAGCAGTCAAGTGGTGGGCTCTAAATAACTCTGAGGTGAGGGGGCACTGTTGCATTGCTCCTGTCAACAGGAGCTAGTCCTCCATATCCCCTACCCAGCTACCAGACATTCTGCCACACTTGTCAGATTTGGGACTGATAGATATTTGACATTGAGTTGGGCTCAAAAGAAACAGAGATTGAGAATAATGAAAGTAGTCTTTGACATGCTAAAGAGGTCTCAACTGGGTGCCCTTCCTCTTAATCCTGATGTTTCTATGTCTCAGGAGGAGATTGTGTATGTGTGCATTAAGCGAGAAGGAATGTGTGTGAAGAGGGGAGTGGTACAGTTCCTTGTTTGTATGGCCCACTCCTCTCTGGAGACATTGTTTGGCAAGACCAAGTATGGACATAAACTTGTACCTCAAAATGCCTCCTTGAAGAGGGTGCCCTCCAGGCCCCCATTCTACATGCTGACTGACTCATGGTTAACTTGTTTGGTCACTACAGGGGCTAGTGGTGGACAGCAAGAATACTTTGTTGTCTTAAGTTTCTTCACCTACAAAATGGAGATGATACCTCTGCTGTCCAGTATTTTGTGGCTGGAGTGAAAAGCCCATGAGAACAGATGTCCAGGCTGTGTGGAGGCAACTTTATAATCTCAAGTAGACAGACTGATTCACGTGAGTGCAATACTCATTTCTTTCTTCACCAAATGTTCCATGGATACCTCCTCTATGCCAGGCCTGGTGATAAGCATTGGGAGGAGGGGGTACAGTGGTAAAACTCTGGGAAAATGGAGCCTCTTAGGATGGAATTCTGAGAGGAGATGAAAGCTAAACTTAGAGGTCTGGCAGAGGTGATCTGGGTCATTGCAGGTGAAGAGATTCCTTCTCTTCAAGGTGGGGAGTGGCATCAGAGAAAAGTTCCACAGAGGATGGCCTTGATATGCCAAGTTAGAAAAGTAGAGAAAGGATTTTTACCCAATCCAAAGCCCATCAGTGTGAGAGGATATGATGGGTTAAACAAAAGTTAGGATTTTGGATCTGAGTAGTCACTGGTGATGTGGTCAAGGCCAGTTTGGAGCAGAGGTGAGAGTGTACACCAGACTGCAGTGAAGTGTCAAGAGAATGGTCTGCAAGAAAAGAGACTATGTATGCAGCCTCCTTGCTCTAGAAGTTTGACTGCAAAGAAATGGTGGTGAGAGGAGGCCCTGGAGTTCAGGTTTGTTTTTACAAGATGGAAAGATGTGAGCTTGTTTATATGCTGAAGGGGAAAAATCAATCCAGTTGAGGATACAGAAGTCAGGATAATTGGTGGGTGGGAAGCCCTGGATGGGGTTGGGAATGGGATCCACAACCCCTTAGAGATGAGTTGGCCTTAGCTGGGATGAAAGACCAAGACAAGAGGGAAGGATGTGCATATGCAGTAGAATCTGTTGTTACGGAAGGTTGACGATATGATACCTAATGACCTCTACGTGTTCTGGGAAGTGGGAGGAAAAGTCCCCACAGTGAAAGGAAAAGTAGTAGTTTAGGAGGTTCAAGAAAGCTTGCTAATATTGGACAAGGTTTGAAATAGTTACTGCAGAGATTGTGCAGGTTGATAAAGGCCTGGCTGATTTGTTACCCAAGAATGTACAGCTATCCCACTCAATTTTGTGATATCCTGCTTCTTAGCTGTGAGACCGTGAGCAAGTTACTTAACTTCTCTGCACCTCAGTTTCCTCATCTGAAAAATGGGCATGATTAAAACCAGGCCATTGAATTAAATGAGTTAATTCATGCTCAGAGATTACTGAGCACATTTCCTGGCATATAATAAGTGTTCAATGTATATTAAGTCTTTAGATTTCTATGATGATTAGTTTTTTTATTTCTTCTGTAGTGTTCATAAGTCCAGGTTTAGGAGAGGACAGTGGCTTGTTCCAACGTTAATGTGTTACTCGGTGAGAGATTAAAGTTATTGAATGAACACAAGGTCAAAGATGGACAGGAAAGGAAGTGAAGACAAGGTAAGGGGGCAAATGGAGAGAAGGCAGGGAATCACATGGTGCCTGAAACACAGAGCCTGGCACAGAGTAGATCTCAATAAATATTTGTTGAGTGAAAGAATGGGAAATTCTCTGAGGTCAAACCATAGGTTTCCAGGAATGTCATTTCTGGAAGCAGGCAACTGGCCAGAAAGGGTGGCCTGCATTTCCAGGTGAAGCCAAGGGAGCAAGTGGTAGAATGGAAGGTAGATGTTGTGAGAGCCAAAAAGGTGAAGGAACTGCAGGTGAAGGCATTGGAGGACTCACTGGAGCAGACCCAGGCATCAGCCCAGCCTCCACTTTTCTACTGGGAGGAGATAGCCTGCATTGGGAGAAGACTGGCAAAGTAGGAGCTAGCAAGTATACTAGTGTCTAGAAGCTAATGTCTTCTATGCCTGTAGGTGGACAGAGCTCAAAAGGTACCAAGATGAAGCAGATGGTTTTTCATCTTGCATCTTAGTCAAGGAGATGGCTTGACTGTGTAGGAGCAGGGTTTCCCTGGGGCTGGGGGAACAACGAAGGCCCTTTAGAGTTTGGAAATTACCAGCAAAAGTAGAGCAGAGAGAGTGAGAGCTCTGCCTCTCCCATATGCCCAGCCCCTCACTTTGGACTTGACCCAAACCCTTTAGTCTATCCTCAGTGCCAAGGGCTGCCACCTTTCCTTGCCTTGCTGCGTCACTCCTTAGTGCCAGCTCTATCATGGGGGCCAGGGCTGGGCCCTCTGAAAACTAAGGGGCTGCAACCCTTCTCAGTGAGAGAGAGCCCTGTGCACATACTGCCCAGGCCCATGAAATGAAGTCAGGGCTTGCCCTCACTCTTCCTCAGTGCTCGCACTCACACATAAGGCAGAACATGGCATCCTGGGAGGAGCCCTGGCCTATGCAACAAGGAACCTCATGGATTCTAGTTCTGGTTCTACCTTGCCTCACTGTGTGGCCTTAGGCAAGTTTCTTCCTTTCTCTGGGCCTTAGTTTCCACATCTGTACAAAAACTTTTCTGACTACCTCAGAGTTGTTCTAGAAGTAAGCGAAATGATGGGTGTGCAAATGTTTTGTAAGAGGTCAAATGCTCTGGGCCTGCAAGAGAGAGATTAAATTAATGCTGCCAGAATAAACCCAAGCATACATGGTCAATTAATTTATGACAAAGGATCTAAGATATACAATGAGGAAAGGACAGTCTCTTCAATAAATGGTGCTGGGCAGGGAAATATATACAAGATCTTGTGGTAGCTCACAGCAAAAAAAAATGTGACAATGAATATATGTATGTTCATGTATAATTGAAAAATCATGCTCTACACTGGAATTTGACACAACATTGTAAAATGACTATAACTCAATAAAATTGTTATAAAAAATAAATAAATGATTCTGGGAAAACTGGACAGCCACATGCAAAAAAAAAAGAAAACCCATGAAACTGAACCACTATCATATACCATACAAAAAATTAACAGAAAGTAGATTAAAGACTTTAATATAAAATCTGAAACCATGAAACTCCTAGAAGAAAATATTAGCAGTAAGCTCCTTGACATCAGTTTTGGCAGTGATTTTTTTTGTCTTTGACACCAAGAGCAAAGGCAATAAAAGCAAAAATAAACAAGTGGGACTGCACAGCAAGAGAGACTATCCACAAAATGAAAAAGTAACCTATTAAATGGGAGGAGGTACTTGTGAATTATATATCCTACAAGGGGTCAATATCCGAAACATAGAGAGAACTCATACAATTCAACATCAAAAACAACAACAACAATAACAATAACAACAACAAAAACAACAACAACAACCACCACCTGATTTAACAAAGGACAGAAGACCTGAATAGACATTTTTTTCAAAGAAGATACACAGATGACCAACAGATACATGAAAAGGTGTTCAGTATCACTAACCATCAGGGAAATGAAAATCAAAATCACAATAAGATCTCACCTCACCCCTGTTAAAATGGCTGTTATCAAAAAGATAAGACATAACAAGTGCTGGCAAGGATTTAGAGAGAAGGGAATCCTTGTGAACTGTTGGTGGGAATGTAAATTGGTACGTCCACTATGGAAAACATTATGGAGGTGTCTCAAAAATTGAAATAAAACTACCATATTATCCAGCAACCCCACTTCTGGGTATTTATCCAAGGAAAACAAAAACACTATATATATGCACCCCCATGTTTACTGTAGCATTATTTACAATAGCCAAGACATGGAAGCAACCCACGTGTTCATCAATGGATAAAGAAAATGGAATATTATTCAGCCATAAAAAGAATGAAATCTTGCCATTTGCAACAACATGGATGGACCTGGAAGGCATTATGCTAAGTGAAAAAAGTCAGACAGAGAAAGACAAATACAATATCATCTCACTTATATGTGGAATCTAAAATTAAGAGAAAAAAATGAGCTTATAGGTACAGAGAACAGATTGGTAATTGCCAGAGGCAGGGGTTGGGGGTGGACAAAATGGGTGAAGGGCATCAAAAAGTACAAACTTCCAGTTACAAAATAAGTAAGTCATGGGGATGTAATGTACAGCATGGTGGATATGGTTAACAATACTGTATTGCCTATTTGAAAGTTGCTAAGAGAGTAGATCTTAAATGTTCTCACAAGGAAAAAAATGTAACTATGCATGGTGATGAATGTTAACTAGACTTGTTGTGATTATTTCACAATATACACAAATACTGAATCATTATGTTCTACACCTGGAACAAATACAATTTTATATGTCAATTACATCTCACTAGTCCAGTTTATAGTCAAGATCTAACAGGGAAAACAAATTACCTGGAAGCTGGTGGTTGTAGTAGTGGGGAATAGGAAGACTAGGTTATCATCTGCATCCAATGCCAACAAGAGACTAAAGGCAAGGGGTGAGATTTCATTCCAGGAACCTCCTCCTCACAACTCCTAGGGAAAGTTACCTCAGAAAGTTCATCGTAAGAATTTGAGATGATCCATTTTAACTCCTGGCCTGTTGTCTGGTTAGGGAAGAGACTAAGGCACCAGGCCTTAAAGTCGTTTCTGTCCACAGCAGCACAGGCAACTGGGAAAACAGCTGAGAGATGTTTGGAAAGCTGGGCTGCCAATAACATGGGAACTTAATTTAGAAAGGTTCCCAGTCTGCTCATCTGTGAAATAGGGCAAAGAGTTGCAGCCATTTCTCTCTGCCTAGAATTTGGTATGCTCCTACATCCTCATAAAATGCAAGTCACTTGAAATGTGCAGAGTATCCATGTGCTTTCAGGGGTCAACCAAAGAATCTGTGTTCCAGATGACACAGGGGAGGCCACCCTGGCCAGGCCCCATTTGAATGGTGTACTTTCCCGGGGTCCTATAGCAGATGGGGCTGCTGAAGTTGACTCCTAATTCCCAAGGGCCCTGACTAAGGGTATAGGGGGCAGAGCCCAGGGTGGGGTCCTGGACAATTCACCTTTCAGGAACCTAGAATGAAAAAAAGGTGGAAGAGACCTACAGCCTACCCTGAAGCCCTTTGTCTGCACTTACAGCCCAGTCTTTCAGTTATCTTTGCTCCTTGGAGATAAACAGCTGCACTACTCTCCAAGATGGAAAAGAATGAAAGTCTGGAAGCTGAGTTGGGCAGGACCATGAGGATAGATGTCCTGTTTTCTTGCCTCCTTTCCTAGTCTCTCAGGCACTAGGAGCTAGGGAGAGGGGGAGAGGTAAGAAGAGGGAGAAGCAAGTCAGATCAAGACCACATTTCCTGCCTTCCTTTCCATATGAGGGAGATCATTATGTAGGGGCAGGAGTCTGTACAGGCAGCTCCCAGGAAAAGCTCTAAACACCTAAAGTACTTCCCACATACAGGTAATCTGGGCTCTCTTCCTCTATCGCTTCATCTTGTGTCTCTTTCACTGCTCATCCACATCCCCACCCACAGTTGTACATACAAGAAGGTACTGTGAAAGGATAAAGATTTAACAAAATTGAAGGTGACTGGATCTGGATTTGGGTGGTTATCTGTGCTTGTCCAGGCCCCATTTGCCTCCTTCCCCTGCTCTTCTCCACATCAGAGGGGGACAGACCACTGCAGGCTGCATTTCCCAGGCTTTTTCATCAATAATCTTCTGGCTGATTCAAGCAATGGGGGGCATTGATGGGAGGGTAAGAAAAACAGGGAAGCCAGGGTACTTAGCCTCCCCTTTTTGTGCCTCTGGTGGTATCTGTGCTGTGTCTCTTCAATGGCTCCCACTGTCAATACACTTCCAATTCTGCTCTGTGATCCCAGTTGCTGGCTCAGGTCATACCACCTTTTCCCACTGTCCTTCCGTTTTTCATCTTCCCCTGTTCTGCCCTATATTGCAAGGGGGTGAGGGCTGACCCATGTAGTCTGTGTTTTTCAGGCTCTCATATTAGTTGACTTCTAGTTTCCCCCAGTGAGAGAGACATTGGAATCAGATTGAAGGGCAAGAATGAGGGAAAGGAGAGGGTATTTCTTCCTTTCCTCTGGTTTGGGCACCCACGTTAGATAGATCTGTGATTCCACTTTCCATCAGCAGACCCCTGTACCTGGACTCTGGACATACCTTCTTCCTCACCCCTCCAGCCTAAGGGTGGTATTGGCCTCCTGCTGTCACTGATCTCTGGGTTAGTTTCCCATCCTTATAGCTTCTCAGCCTATTACCTATGTAATCAATATTTTTTCTATATTAAATTCACTGTCATAAATATTTGGTAACTTGTTTTCCTAGTTAGGTCTTGACTATAAACTGGACTCGTGGGCATGCAGCCTATGATTCAAGGTGAGTGAATGGGAGGCTCCTTGGTCACTTGAGGGAGTTGGGTAACAGCCCCTGAAAAGGTGACCTATACCAGCCAGAGAGGTAAATGGAGATACAGAGCTGAGCAAGCTGATGCTACCTTTCTACTTGAATTCTCTAAGACCTTGCTTCTAGGTCATTATAGCTCCACATCCTCTCAAGGATCTTGGTGGGGAGGTATGGGCCATAGGATTAGTTTTCTCTTTTTTACTCTTTCAATGGCCAGGCTCTTATGCCTATCAAATTCCCGACCACTATAATACTTCCCCATGGCCAACCAGATCCCTTCCCCCAGTGAACCAACCCCCACCCCCCAACATACACACATATATACACAGATACACCCCCAGACACAACAGCCCACAGGATTTATTTTGTTGAGGATTTTATTGTGGAGGATAGTACAGGAGAGCAGCTTCAGGTGGGTGGGTAGAGCTGTAATGCCCTTCAGCTACCTGGATCCCCAGGTGGTTTCTGGAGGCATTGTGTGTTTCTGGACAGGCTGTGAGATTACAGTTGGTGTTTGAGGTAGCTAATAAGCATGGGGGGAATATCCAGCTGGTCGATGGCTTGTGGCTGGCTGGCCTGGCGCAGTGCTCTGTGGATAACTAAACGGGCCTGTGATAGTAGTGACCGTGGAGTGGCTACAGCAAGGAGAAATAGGTCATGAGCAGCAATTCTCAGTGTAATTCTCCCACCCAAGCCTACATCCATTCTGCCCTGGCTACTGTAAGCCTAATTGCTCTCTCCCTTCTAACAAATATCCCCCTCCCTGCACTCAGTGCATGGTACCAATGGGGCACACTGAAGCCTAGAGAGGGCATGTTCAAGGCTACAAAATAGTCATTGGCAAAGCAAGAACCAGAAATTGGGCTAGTGCTACCCCCTCCTCATCTTAGTGATCCCTTCCCTAAAAAGGAATCTGTAACTTCTTCTCCACTGGGGCCCCTGAAGAGGGAAGATGGTGTTTTCTCCAGTTCATCCCCAAATTGGCTTGGGGGGTGATTTGGGGCCCTGAGACCTCCAAACTAGGAGATGTATTAGAACTGGTCTGCTTGACACTCACCTCGGGCCTGTAGCAGCAATGCAGTGCCTTTATCACATCGAGAGTTCAGGTCCAGGGAGAGAGTTGGAAGGTAGATATTAGCACCAAAATCAATTAACAGCCGAATGTACTCGGGCTCACAATTATGGTGGAGACATATTTCAAGGAGGGTGCGGGGCCGTGGGACTCGAGCCAACAGGTGCTGGTCAGTGCAGTTGTAGTCGGGGTCAGCTCCATGGAGCAAAAGAAGGCGGAAACAGTCAAGGTGACCATAGACTGCAGCCATATAGAGGGGACCAGAACATGAAGCTATGTTCGACGCCCAGACTGGTAGTTTCGCCTTCACATTGGCCTCTGCACCATGACCCAGGAGCTCCTGCAGTATGGCAACAGCACCATCACGGGCAGCTGTGAGCACAGGAGAGCAGTTGTTGTAGATGCTACCACCAGGACAGGCACCAGCTTCCAGAAGCACACGCACACAGTCTAGATGGCCATGACTGACAGCAGTAAAAAGTGGTGTCTGTGCCTTGACGTCCAAGCTGTCAACATCAGCACCATGTGCCAGGAGGACCTGCAAGCAGCTAAGGTGACCATAAGAAGCAGCCAAGCGCAAGGGTGTCCCAGGGACTCCCCAGCCACTCCTACTGTTGATGAATCGTTTGTAACGCTCCTGGCACAAAAGCTGGTCCAAGGTATAGGAGTCATTGTTGTACACTGCTTGATTGAGAGCCTGTTTCTCCCCTGTGTCAGTGTCCTCCTCCTCCTTGTCGGGCTGCAGGAGGGAGAAGATCTTGGTGATGTCCATGAGATTGACTTTGACTGATTTCAGCAGAACTATTCTCATTATGAGCAGGAGGATATGCCAGATCTGTGGGTGACAAAAACATGAGAGAGAGTGAGGGCACCCATCAAAAGCCTGGATGCCAGCCCTTGGCCCCTATCCTTCACTTCACCATCAGGCTCTCCACTCATGGGTCCCCTGCTTCTAACTCCTAATCCATCTTATTTCAGGCCCGAGAGATGGTTGTCCAAACAGATCAGGCCATTTCATAGCTTAGTGCCTTTGCATATGCTGTTCTGTCAGCCCTTCAAACTCCTACTTCTGGGATGTCTTCCCTAATCTCCTCCTCCACCTGCTCAGGGCTTCCAAAGGATCACAACTAGACTTTAACTATGAGCTTTCACACCACATTTCCACTTATCTATGCTTCGTTAGTGTGTAAACTCCAAGATGAGGACTCCTGTATCCATCTTATTATTCCTCCACTCCCAGTAGGGCCTACATCATGGCTGGGGATTTGGTAGATGCATCTCCCTTAGTTCAGAATGTATGGACTAATAAAGTGGTTCTGGTCTGGCAGTTGCTAGGCCAACAGAATGGTGCTCTGTGGTGTCAAGCTGTCTTCCCTGAGCATTCTGACATTAATCTCATGGGGCAGGCCTTTTAGATGAGATTCGACCTCTTCACTGTCCCTCATAGCTGACCTCCTCTCAGACTCAGGCCCCATGTTTCAGGCAACAAAGTTGCTGAGGAAATGAATGGTGAATGTTATTTACTGATTAAATAAAGAAGTGACATTACACAGAACACACTTCAAGTAAAATGAAGTCAAAGAGATGGTAGGAAATACTCGAGGTTTCCAGAGCAAGTCCTCCTCTCTGGTGACAACTGGTTTTTCCATCACGACCACTTCAGTCCAGGAGTCCCTTGGATTTACAGCCCCTTTTTGAAATCCATGGCTTCCCCTTCTCTCTGGGTCAAGCCTTTTCCCATCCTCTCTGCTCCACCCAATTTGGAACCTTGCCTCAATCCTCACTTATCTCCCCATCATCCCCAGGCCCTATGAAAACACCCATGGCCCAATATCCCAGTGACTGACTCAAACTAACCCCTTGACCTTTCCAGTCCTGTTCCTAATGCTCCAACATCAGTTTGTAATGTCATCAGGGTAAGTTGGTAGGTTTTTCAGAGATTTAGTTCCCTCCTCCCATATACCCTGCAGCCATGGGCTCAGGGCCACACACCTCTTTTTATTCACTGTCCACCTCCACCCCTCTTTGTTAGTTTGGGACCTCAGGTACACACCTCATAGAAAAAATTGTGACGTGAGTAGGTGGGGTCTCCCTCAACTTTAGGTCCCTCCTCACCAGTCAACATCAACTCCATATTCAGTCTTATTATTTATTCATTTTGGGGTGCAATTACAAGAAGAGGATTTCAGAAATCAGGCAGACCTGTTTGCAACTCAACACCCTCATTTCCTATCTGAGTAACCTTGGGCATACCTCTTCCCTTCTTTGGGAATCATTTTCCTCATTGTTAAGACAGAAATGATAGTCCCTGCCTCATGGGGTTGTTAAAAGAAAGAGCCCTATCCCCATATATCAGATCTTCAAAGGTGAGCTTCCTCTGCACCTTCAACCTCTTCACTGGCTCCTTCCCCTCAATCATCTTAAAAAACAAAACAAAATATTTCTATTGTCCTTTGTCCCACACTAGTTACCTTTCTCTACGTCTCTCTTCTTCACCAAACGTATCCAAAGAGTTGTCTACCATCTACTTCTACACCTCCCATTCACTTTTCCACCCTCTGCAGTCTGGCTCCACCTGCCCTCAATCACACACTGAGATAGATCTTTAAAACTCTTCCTTGTGGTTAAATCTACTGGCCGCTTCTCAGATCTTTCCTTCTCTGACTTTTCTGGGACATATGTCTCTACTGATAACTTCCTCCTATGTAGTCCTACCATGGCTTCCTGGCCAGCCCACACTTCTAATTTTTCTCCCCTCTGTTCTACCCTGAAATAGTTATCTTCCCCTTGTTCTCTCTTTCATCTTCTTCTTTCCAGTTCCAGATCTGTAGCTCTCACTTTTATATTGATGATTTCAAGCCTATCACTTTAAGCCACCAGCAGCCTCTTCAGCAAAAGGTATGTATTCAGTGAGTTTCTTCAGGTACTTCAAAGTCAGCAGTATCACACCATCACTACCACCATCACTATCACCAAAATTGATCCATAACTCAGTTCCTCATCATCCACCTGGTCAACCAAACACTGAAGGCTCTAGTCAGTCCTCCTATCTCTTTGTCTCATTCTCATTTAATTGATCAAGTCCTGTGAATTTTACTTCCTACAGACCTCTATAGGCTACCCCTCAGGCCCATCCCCATTGCCAGTGTTTTAATCTGGGACCTCATCAATTTTTGCCTCAACTGTTGTATTAGTCTCCTAGCTAGTTTTCCTTTTCAATAATTCCTCCCCATTGTGGCTAAAGTGATCGTTTAAATACACAAATCTTGTTTGTGCCATTCCCCTACTTTAAATCTCTTCATGGCTCCCCTTTCTTTCAGAATATAGCCCAGATGCCTTGCCTGGCTCACAGGTCACTCAGGAGCAAATCTTGGCCAATATCTTCAGCCTCACTTCCTACTACTCTACCTTTACCCCAAGATTCAGCAATAAGGGAAGAGAAATAGTGGCTCTCGATATACATCATGCTTCCTTCTGTCACATGCAACTCCTGATGGGTTAGTTCCTTGAATCTTTGTTCTTATAGCACTATAGCAATCATCGCATTGCATTGTAACTCCTATATGGGTATGTTTTGCCCCCACTGCAGATTAAGAGGCCATATATAGTAGTGATAAAATATGGTCTTGAATTTTGCTTCAATCCAAGCTCTGCCACTTAGTAGCTGTGTGACCTAGGGTGGATCATTTAATCTCTCTGTGTCTATTTCTTCATCTGTAAAGATAGGATGATATTAGTATCTGCCTCAGAGGGCTATTGTTAGGATTAAATGAGTTAGTGCATCTTAAACGTTTTGACTAGCACCTGAATGTACTACTCAGTAACTATTTTTACTATAAAGATTGTTATTACTTAGGTCTCCGATTTATATGACTGTTTCTCCCTCCTGAGGCTAAAGCTCTATAATGTCAGAGCTGGAATGCACAGAATAAGCCATTTAACTTAATTTTCTCAATTTAGAGATGGGAAAACCAAGGCTCGAGGGAGAGCAGGGACTTTTTCCTAAGGTCACATGGCTGTTATTGACAGCTATCTACTTAGCGAGAATTCAGAGCATGTCTATAATCTTGTGCATTTCAAAGCTATTTCACATAATGGAATAGATAATATTATCCCTGTTTTGTGGATGGAGGAAACTGAGGTCCAGATGGGTAAGGGATTTGCAGGTACGTTACATTAGGGCAAAGCAGAGCCAGAAATAGAACCCAGGTTTCCCTATTCTCCATCCTGTTCTTTTTGTTACCACCTGAAAAACAAACACATACTCCTTCCCCTCGTCTCAAGCAGAGTCATACTGCAGCTCCCAGAATCCTCAGCTTTGAGGATCATGCTGAATTCCAGAACTTAAATCATAGATTTCTTTAAAAATCATTTCTTCTAACAGCCAGTTAGGGATTCCCTTCTTACTATTTTACTTTGGGAAGTGATATTCAGGGAGATGAAGGGAGTATGAAGAAAAATGCTGACGCTTTTACCAAGTGATACCATGAACACACAGCAAGGCCCATATAATGAGCCTCCAGAGGGAGAACAAGCCATGGGCCCCAGCTAACTTGGGCACTTGAGTGAATTGCGCCTTATTAGATAGGATAAGAAAATCTAACTCATTTATTGTCTAACCTAACCTTACTGTGGTTTATTAATCAAAGAGTTATTATGTTACCATTCTGTGCAAGGATCCTCCTCCTGATCCCCAAAGTACAAGGGTTTTAAACCTTTTTTTGTGTGACATTGGCTCTTGTGGCAATATAGTTAAGTCTCTGGTCTCCTCTCAGAATGGTTTTTAATACATAAAATAACATAGAATTAAAAGAAACTGATTATATTGAAATACAGCTATCAACATATTTTTAAAACTGCATGATATAGTAATAGAAGTTCTTTTAGCACATTACATAACAAAGTCTACTAATAATTTCTAAGCGATGATGAGCATAAAAAATGACATTTCTAGATCCCTGCCAAAACTGTAGTATGACATGAAATCTCTGTGATTTCTTCTGGTGACCGAGTTACAGGAACTAGTAATACTACTGCCATTTGCTGCTTACATTCATTCTTTAGGAAATGGTAAATTTCAGTATAGAGATTAGGGGGAAATAAAGGTGTTTGTTTGCCTCATCCATATTTTTGGACCCTTTGGATTCTAAGGCTTTCCTGGGGAGTCTGTGAATTTAGGTTAAGAACTCCTATGGGAGAGTGGCTGGTTTCAGCGGGCCCTTAAATAGTCTTCTAGACATTACTAGACTATTTTTAATACTCACCTTCCTCCCCCCACCCTAAGGAGCTTTGCCCTTCTGTCCTTGAGCCCACCCCACTGCACTGACACACACAGACTCACAAATATCACACAGGGACACAAAGACAAACCTTCATCCTCCCTGTATTGCACAACCACAATTTCCCTTAGGAAGCAGGCCCATTTGGACCCCAGAACCTAGGCATACACACCTTCCTGGGACAGAAGTGGCAGGAAGCCATCATAGAATCTCCTCTTTCCTCTGTGGGCAGGTTTCCTCACTTACCTCCCAAGTGTCCCCCTTCTGAAACCAGACCCAGTGGAAACAGCCTATGAAGGGTGGTGGTCACAGGTCCATGGGCCCTCAGCTCTAAGGATTCACTCCTCTCTGGCGGCATCATTAGTCCTAGGCTCCAGGTACTCACCAGGCTTTGGCCTGAAGCCACATGACCCAGGGTCGCTGCCCCTACCTCTCTGTGAAGCACTGGACCCTGGTGGCCCCTCCGAGAGGAACCCCCTACTGCCCCAGGCTCGGAGCAAGCAGAGGCCTCAGTTCCCACTGTTAACAACACTGCCTAAAGGCTGGCTGAATAGGTCCAGGGGGTTAATTTTAGACTATCTTCCACCCGCCCTCCCAGGGCCGTGTTATCTTACTAATGCCATTCTGGGAGAGATCCCAGTGAGAGGAGGGCCATCCACGGGGAAGTCCTGGAAGGACTGACTGATGGACAGGTGCCTGGCTGGGCCAAGGCTCAGGCTCCTAATATGCCCCAGGGTTCCACTTCCCATTATTCAAATGGGCTGCGAGTCTAGGCTTCTGCACTGTAAGTCTTCCATCCTTTTACTAAAGGACCTGAGAAGGCCCAGCCTCCCCTAGCATACCTTACTCTGGGCCCAGGACTCCTCTTTTTTTCCTCTCTCTAACTTAGCTTCTCTGGATTTCATTTTTCCTATTTTGAAGGTCCAGCAGCATATTGCCCTCTCCTTTTTCTATTCTACTTGCAACTCCCAAGAGTGAGAAGGACGGTGGGAAGCAGACCTCCATACTGGAACATACATAAGTAAGTCTTCTAGAGTTTGAGAAGGCCCTGTTCATTTAAAAAGGCTTCCCCAGCCCACCAACCCATCAGGTTCAGTCTGAAGAAAATGCCAATAGCCTCCCCACTCTTCTCACGTCTAAGGAACGAAGCCAGCCAGACTTGTCCAGCACTGGGAACTTTGTCAAAAGCTCAGCTCTTAAAAGTATAATTTTAGCTACCTGGTTGCCACTAAATTAAGGGAGTTACCTTTAAAAATAATCACATCATCTACTTTAGGTGTCACCCCCCAAAAAAGTGGAAGCCATCTCTCTCTTCTCTCTGAGAGGAAATGCCAGCCTAGCATTGGTATATAAACTACACCACAAACAATCTATCATGTCTGAGAAATGCTTTTTGGAGAAACTATCAAGCAGCCACTATGTGAAAATGTTCTAGTTGCAGGAAGAACACAAAGAAATGTAAGACATGGTAAAAGAAAAAAGAGTTCACAGTTTCTTAGGAAAAACAGACACGGAAACAATTCTATTTTACATAAGGGAAAAATGCCTGAACTAAAAGCTGCCTACAGTTATCCCATGTCCATATCAATCTCCCAAATTAGTTCAGGGGGTTACTGCAGGGTTCTATGTCCCTATATGCTGCCCAAAACAATAAAAACCTGAATTTTCCTGGAGAGAGTTTCGTCTATACAAAATACTGATCCCAAGACCTCAGAGTCCTTCTCCTTCCCTTCCAATCATCAAGAGAAGTTTCCAGTCAGGAGAAAAGAAAAGCCAGTGAGGGAACAAGAGATGTGTTCAGATAAAGTACTAGTGGCCCTGTTTCACATAATTACTTTGGTGTTAGAATCTGCACATTGAAAGGAAATTTATACATTTCTGAGAGATGTTTAATGACTTCTTAAATGCTTCCAGTAATTGGATGCTCTCTACATCAGAAGTAGCACATCTCATTATTGAGCAGCTCAGTTAGTCCTTCTTTCTACTAAGCCTATATCTGCATCTATTAAGCACCCCTGAGGTACTGATCTTCACTTACCCTTAGGACTTCAGAGAACATTGTCATTTTCTTTGCCACAAATCAGCCCTCTAGGGGTCTGAACCCAGGTATCTTATCCTTCATGTCACCTTATCTTAAGTGAAAGCAGCCCAGCTCCTTCAGTTATTTTTTACAAGCTGATATCTATCCCGTACCTTCCCAAGTCTACTACACTCATGAAGTGGTCATGCAGCCTGTTTACACATTAACACCAGAGAGTTCACAGGAGGTCATATGACACCTTAGGAAAGTGTCAGGTGTGTCCCAGTGTGATCGATAACTCTGAAGATCAGAAACATCATGAAGCATATCAGCTTCAGCTTAGTTTGAGCCAGTGGTCTATAGCTGTTTATTATCCGAGGCATCATGCAAGCCTGATTAGCCAGGACTGGAGAACTATCCCAAGTTGCCAGCCCAGCCCAGAGCATGGACAGGCATAAGAGAGAGATGTTGGAAACAGTCAGAAGCCCAAACTCCCTGTTTAAGAGAGTGCCCATGTCCAGGTTCTCGTGGGGAAAGAGCCCCAGCTGAGGCAGCCTCCCTCAAGCGCCCTGAGAATGGGGATGTAGAGGGGGTGGAATTTAATTGGAGCAACAATAAAACTGTCTCACAGACAAGAACAAAACAAAACAAAACAATAAACAAGCTATTATGATGCTAAAGATGACAGAGCAGGATATTATTTCTTGAAAAAAAGATTAGTAGGATTTTTAATACAAATTTTTTAGATAATTGTGTATTAATATGCAGTTGTAAAAATAATACGGAGATCCCCCTGAAGACTTTACTATTTCCTCCAATGGTAGCATTTTGCAAGTACAGTACAGTACCACAAGTAGGATATTGACACTAATACAATCCACCTATCTTATTCAGATTTCCCAGGGTTTATCTGTAGTCATTTGTGTGTCTGTTTGTGTATGTATTTACTTCTGTACAATTTTATCACATAAGTAGGTTGTGTATACCACCACAGACAGTATACAAAATAGTTCTATCACAATAAAGATACCTCATGTTTCCTTTTTATAGCCATATCCACTCTCTTCTCACTCCTCCCTCCTTGGTCCCTAACCCCTGGCAAGCTCTAATCCTTTTTCCATTTCTATAATTTTGTCATTTCAAAATTATATAAATGACACCATAATTTTTGAGATTCATCCAGGTTGTTGCATATATCAAGTTTTTTGTTTTTGTTTCTGTACCATATTTATTTAACCATTGACCTAGTGAAGGACATCTGAGTTGTATATAGTATTTGGCTATTAAGAAGGAAGCTTTTAGTTATGGTATATATATACAATGCAATACTACTCAGCCATAAAAAAATTAATGCCATTTGCCGTAACATGGATGGACTGGAGATTATCATACTATGTGAAGTAAGTCAGAGAAAGACAAATATCATTTATCATTTGTACATGGAATCTTAAAAAATGACACAAATGAACTTATTTATAAAAAACAGATTTACAGACATAGATAACAAACTTATGGTTACCAGTGGGGGAACGGGGTGGGAAGGGATAAATTGGGAGTTCGAGATTTGCAGATACTAACTACTATATATAAAATAGATAAACAACAAAGTCCTACTGTATAGCACAGGGATCTATATTTAATATCTTGTAGTAACTTATAATGAAAAAGAATATGAAAAGGAATACATGTATGTGTATTTATGACTGAAACATTATGCTGTACACCAAAATTTGGCACAACATTATAAACTGACTATACTTCATTAAAAACAGGAATAAATCTATGAACATCTGTGCACAGGTCTTTAGCACTCTAGTTACATTAGATAGAGTGATTACTCCCATTTTACTCTACCATGCCAATATTGTTTTAGCTCTACAAGGGCCTGTGCCTATTTATATACATTTTAGAATAAGCTTGCCCATGTGTACAAAAAAAAAACTTACTGAGAATTTGGTAGAAACTGTGTTAAATCTTTATAACAATTTGGGGGAGAACTGACTGCTTTACTATGTTGAATCTTCCAACCCATGGTCATGGTATGTTTTTACATTTATTTAAGTTCTTAATTTCTTTCATCACATTTTGTGGTTTTCAGCATATGGATCATGTTCATATTTTGTTAAGTGTATGCCTAACTGTTTCAATTTCTTTGGATAAATTGTAAATAGAATTGGGTTTTGATTTTGGCCTCTATGTGTTCATGTAGAACTGTGATTTTTTTTTTAGGGGGGAGTACATTGATTTTGCATCCTGCCATATTGCTGAATTCACTAGTTCCAGAAGTGTTTTTGTTTTTTTGTAATTTCCTTGGGATTTTCTATGTAGTCAATCACGTCATCTGCAAATAGGGACAACTTTATTTCTTCCTTTCCAATCTATATACCTAATTTCCTTTCCTTGCCTTGTTGCATTCCAGAAATATGTTGAATAAGGGTGGTTAGAGTGGACATCTTTGCTTTTCCCCAGTCTTGGGGGAAATAATTTAGTCTTTCATCATTAGATATGATGTTAAATATAGGTTTTTCATAATTGCCCTTTGTGTAAGTTCAAGAAATCCATTTCTATTCATAGTTCACTAAGAGGTATTTTTTAA